GACCGTTTATTTTGACGGAGAAAGAATAGAAAGAATACGCATGCAGACAAACTGACATTTTATTGCAGATGTAGCTAAATCACCCGAGAAAAGATTCCCATCTGAACATCTGAGCTGGACACCGCTCAGCGCAGCTCGCTGTCAGTGCGTACGTACGGTGCACAGCGAGCTGAAGATGTGGAGAGGGGCTTGGAGCGTGTCGCAGAACCAGGGCGCATGCGGGAAGGTCAGAAAATGTTCCCTGATTATGAAACTTTGGCTGAATAGCGCTTGTTCCTGTCTCCAATGTGGCAACACATCCCTGAGCCTGTCTGAGGAGAATCCCAGAATCTCATGTCTTCTTCAGCTCAGAAAATGCCAATTACGCACAAGCGTGACCCGTCAACCCGGTCTCACAGTAAGACTGGGTTGGAACTGTTCAGGTTTACGCAGACAATCTTTACATTTAGAATTGACTTACAGATATAACGTTAATTCAGTAAAATATAAAGCATTTTATTTAAATATCCATTATTTTACAAGCACAGAGAGCCGCACCAGATGGATGGAAGAGCCGCGGGTTGCCGACCCCTGGTATAGCCTATAAAATGACGTTTTCTCCAGGACCAGAGAGGACACAAACTCATTACATGTCTTTTATTGTGAGGTAATAATTTCTCAGAGTTTTGCGGTTGCGGGCGGGAGTAGACATGCACACAGCGGGTGCGGGAGTGTTACACACACGTTGTGGTTGCAGGCGGTAATGGTCAGAAATTCAGCGGGAGCGGGCAGGAGCGGTATATTTAATAAAGATAATTAAGAAAGTGACACAACATGAAAATGTACTCTGTTCTGAACACAGATGACTTAATGAGGCGAGGAGGAAGCTCCCTCTTGCTGAGGAGCAGACAGACCTCCAGTCTGAGGCGGAAGCCATTGAAAGGCCTCAAAGAAGGATTAAGTAAGAATTTTGTGAACTTTCCATTCCTCCACCTCTTGGGCCTGTGTTGAATTTGCACTCATTAACTTAAATTAAATGTTTAATTCAGAATAAATGTAGTCTTGTGTGTTCATTTCCAAAGGCCAAGCATATGTCCAGGACCGGGCCTCATCAGAGGATGAAGCCCAGACCCCTGGAAGAGGGCTTCCCCCACCCCCAGCCATCCCCCCAGTGAGGAGAAGGTTCATCCTCCCCAATAACCTGTACCTCTGCCTGACCTGACCAATTACCAGGTAATGGAAATCTCAACAAATACCACAGTAACGTATGTATAGCAAATGGGTTTGAGTGTAGCTGATCAGGTAAGTGTGGTGTTTCAAATGTGATACATTAGGAAATTTACAAAGGTTAATGAGGCAGTTACAGGCAGTTTGGAGAAAAACAATTCTGTAGCCATTATGTCACTGTTGAGGTCAATAATTGCATTTTGTAAACTGTTGTTCTTCTTCCTCTCCCTCTTCTACTCACTCTTCCAGCATGTCATGACCCTGGGGACATCATTGCGGTAGGCCATTGACCTGCAGGGTCACCAGGGAACCCAGGGGGTTCCAGTTCCAACTCCCTCTTCATCTGGTGGGATGATGAGGGAGGAATCGGCTGTCCAGGTGCCTACAGTTTGCCCTAGCTCCTCTCCAGGGCAGTGGCAGCAGAGGGACGACACAACATGTAAGGTTTTTATGGTTTACACTCACCCAGTCCTCACATGCCAGTTTCGGTATACAAACACACATGATCCACGCATACATACTAATATAAGATGGTTTATAAAGCTAAACACACACACACACACACACACACACACACACACACACACACACACACACACACACACACACACACACACACACACACACACACACACAGAGAGAGAGAGAGAGTCTGAATGGAAAAGAATTATGTTTATGTATTTAGCAGACACTTTTGTCCAAAGCGACTTACAAGTGATAATCGGCATGTTGCCCTTGAGGCTAACAACAACAACAACTTGACATCAATCATGGAGAGGAGGAAACAAGGAGTGGACAGTAGAGAGGGGGGACGGGTGCAGGGAAGGTGCTAGTTTAGAAGATGCTCTCTGAAGAGCAGGGTCCTCAGGAGTTTCTTGAAAATTGAAAATGAAGCCCCTGTTCTGGTAGTGCTTGGAAGGTCATTCCACATTTGTGGAACGATGCATGAGAAGAGTCTGGATTGTCCTGAGCGTGGTGTAGGCACTGCTAGCCGACCATCCTGTGATGACCGGAGCGACCGGGCCGAGACGTAAGCCTTTGCAAGAGGATTCAGGTAGATGGGAGCCGTACCATCTCGGACTTTGTATGCTAGTGTTAGCAATTTGAATTTGATGCGTGCTGCTAGCGGTAGCCAGTGGAGCTCAATGAACAGAGGGGTGACGTGTGCTCTTTTTGGTTAATTAAAATGCCACACACACACACACACAACATCTAAATGCAAAAATGCTTAAACTATGTTGTTTCTTTGTGTCTGAAATGCTTTTCAGCTCTCCTGCATGAAGTCCTGGTGAAACAGGAAATAATCCTGCTGCAGCAGCGCGGCCTCACCAAAATGGTGCAGGACCTTTTGTTGCTGTTGCTGCTCTTCAGGGCCTGACCACAGGGGGAAGTGTGGAGACCAGGCACCACGGCATCTTCCCCTTGGCAGATGTTCAGGCCCTGATGGCCTTGGAGAGGGAGCTTGGAATCAGTCCAACATTGGCCCATGAATTGGTGAGCTTTTTTCTGTTCTTTACAACAAAGTTTTGGACAATGCATTTTGGCATGCACATCCAATTTATGTGTTGTTCAATATCTTAAAGCGGTAGATATGCCAAAGGAGTTAAAGGACTGCTTGTGCAGCCAACGAGCTCCACCCAATTATTCCCCCCCCCCCCCCCCCCCCCCCACACACACACACACATTTCAGGTCTCTGCCCTTCATCAGGCAACCACGAAACGCCAAATAAATAAATAGTGGAGCACAATGGCTATCCAGGCTTTTCTTTAAGTTTGTATAATATTTGTTTGAAAATTCAATGAAAATCAATCTTTGTTTAAAAAATTAATGAAGATCAATTTTTCTAATTTTAGGGTTCAACACTCGGCCTTGTGGGGGGGTCCACAGTTAAGGACACGGTGTGGCGGGTCCTCAAAGGAGCCATGACTAATGCCCTCGCCGAGGGCAAAATGGGAAGGTGGCCTTTGAGAGGCTCCACCTAAAAGGCATTGTAATTGGTAAGTTTAATCACAACAGTAACACGACTGTTCTATCACACAGCTGATAAAATCATAGTTTAGGATAAAATTATTAGCCACCCATGACAATCACATTTCTTTTCAAAGTCAAAATACTTATAGTCTTAACAACTAATTTGCGAAATGGCACGCAGTGCGCCTGTGACTATCTCATAATTTTAACACCACGCTATCGCTGGCTTCAAGACAGCTATTGCCACTTTGCCCGCAATGTGACGCGTTCTTCAGGGTCAACTCTCGCTCGTGAAATTCTTGTTTGGTTTTAGTGTCAGGAAAGAACTGCTGGTTTGTGTTTGGTAAACTGTGTTTGGTAAAGTAAACTGTGGCAGTGTAAGTACTAAGTGACTATGATGATTTAATGTTGTAACTTTGGCTGTCACTTTCAACCCCATATGACGAGATGCATCCATTAACTAATGCAAAACTGACTTTTTAACTAGCCAGTTACTTAGCCCACCACAGGTCTCTTTTGCATGGACTGTTGCGTCGTCCTTTTCTAAGTCTTTCTCCATGTGTATGCCTTTATTTTCAGCTGCAGTGAGAAGGAATCCGGTCTGTGTGGCATCTACGGAGGCAGAAATTATAAATACAATTAAAAAATGGTTCTACTGGGCTGGGGATAGGGACGGAGGGCGCAAAAGGAGAATGCCCGCCCAACCAACCCCTCAACCAGCCCAGGACTCAGTCCAGGACTGACCTTTACAAAAATAAATAAATAAAATATTCAAATTTTACTCTTGTTTGGTTTTATGTTTATGCATCTCGTACACACAGTAACCTAGGCTATTTCACAAGGCTATTTAACTGAGGCACAAAATCTGAATCTTCTGTACAAGGACATTTTATAGACTATTAAAATGTTAAATTAAATTTAGCATAAGGTTCAGAATAAAATACAATCTTTTGGTAAACGTATGGCTAATTATGGATAAGTTATGGTTCATATTTGGCTTTATTATGGGGTTTTGGGATGGTTATGGCTATGCTTTGGAAAGCCACATTTTATTTTGGGTGATCTTTTGGCAAACGTATGGTTTCACTTTGATATCCTTTGGCCATTTTGTGGTGTTTTGGGGTTCTTTTGGTATAGTTATGGTTGTGCTTTGGAATTCCACAATTTATTTTGGAAGAATTCTGGCAATCTTTTGACAATCCATAATTCTATTTTGGCGTGCCTTATTTGGGCCATATTTGGCCCATCATTCCACCCAAAAGAGTACCAAACTGGCATGCCAAACTAGTGCCAAAAATGATTCTGGCAATCTTTTGACAATCCATAATTCTATTTTGGTGTGCCTAATATGGGCCATATTTGGCCCATCATTCCATCCAAAAGAGTACCAAGACTGGCTTGCCAAACTAGGGCCAAAAATAAATTGCTATCTGGGGGGTCTATGCTCCCCCTCCACTGAGCGCCCTGACTTGGTTGCCGTGGAAGACCTGATGCTGCCGGGGCAGACGGCTCCTCTGATGGCGGTTCCTTGCCTTACCTTACTTGGCTCACCTGGACTCAGCCGAATATACATTTTTACTGATGTGTGTGTGTGTGTGTGTGTGTGTGTGTGTGTGTGTGTGTGTGTGTGTGTGTGTGTGTGTGTGTGTGATTTTAAACTGTTATGGGAATTTGGGGTCATTCTGTAAAGCACTTTGCTTGAAAAGCGCTTTATAAATAAAATCTGATTGATTCATTGATTGAGAACGAGAATCATTTCAATGAATGGTTCTGATGGGAAAACCAACCGGGTTGGGTTATTTTCTATTCTGGTTCTCAGTTCTGGGGACCTTCATGGGACGGGTCCATCAGAACCAGAACCATCAGACTGACTGGTTCTGTTGGATCCAGAGACTGGTTCTCCTCCCAGCCACATAGAACACCTGGATGGTGGTTCTGCAGACGGACCGGACCCACCTGAGCGTCGGGACCGGTCAGAACCGAACCAACCTTTACTACGCAGTGACGTTGGAACGAAAAAACATGGCGGCCGTGCTGAAGGCGGAAGGTAAAGGTGCGTTAACTATCGGTTTTACCTCCTAACAGGGCCCGGTTCGGTGCTGTTAGCACGGGTTCTGACCGGTTAGTCTCAGGTGGTACACGGACAGGTGAGCCGCGGGGGGCTGACCCGGGTTAGCATGGGTTAGCCTGACTTAGCTCGGGTTAGCTTGGAGCTACAGCTTCCATCGGGGAGCTGGCCCGCTGGTTCCGACCCACTCCAGCGTCAGTGTCACTCTGACTGGCTGCTGGCCCGGTTGTGTTCGCGGGCCCGTTAGAACCTGCCGGTTCTCCGGTCTTTAACTGGACCGTGGCGCCTTCCGCCTTTAGCTAAAGCAGCTAACAGCCGGGGGGAAGCTCCGGTAATCGGCAGAGGCAGTCAGGCGAGTCCGCGGTCAGAGTGCGGCCTTCTGGGGGTGAGAGGGGTGTGTGTGTGTGTGTGTGTGTGTGTGTGTGTGTGTAATGTTTGTGTGTGTGTGTGTGTGTGTGTGTGTGTGTGTGTGTGTGTGTGTGTGTGTGTGTGTGTGTGTGTGTGATGTTTGTGTGTGTGTGTGTGTGTGTAATGTGTGAGTAATACGTGTGTGTGTGTGTGTATAATGTTTGTGTGTGTATATAATATGTTTGGGTGTGTGTATAATGTGTGTGTGTGTGTAATGTGTGAGTAATACGTGTGTGTGTGTGTGTGTATATAATATGTTTGGGTGTGTGCATAATGTGTGTGTGTGTGTGCATAATGTGTGTGTGTGTGTTTAATGTGTGAGTAATACGTGTGTGTGTGTGTGTGTGTGTGTGTGTGTGTGTAAAATATGTGTGTGGATTGTGTGTGTGTGTGTGTGTGTATAATGTTTGTGTGTGTGTATAATATGTTTGTGTGTGTGTATAATATGTTTGTGTGTGTGTGTGTATAATGTGTGTGCGTGTGTCTGTGTATAATGTGTTTGTGTGTGTGTGTGTGTGTATAATGTGTGTGTGTGTGTATAATGTGTGTGCGTGTGTCTGTGTATAATGTGTGTGCGTTTTTCTGTGTATAATGTGTTTGTGTGTGTGTGTGTGTATAATGTGTGTGTGTGTGTGTATAATGTGTGTGCGTGTGTCTGTGTATAATATGTTTGTGTGTGTGTGTATAATGTGTGTGCGTGTGTCTGTATAATATGTTTGTGTGTGTGTGTATAATGTGTGTGCGTGTGTCTGTGTATAATATGTTTTTGTGTGTGTGTATAATGTGTGTGCGTGTGTCTGTGTATAATGTGTGTGTGTGTGTATAATATGTTTGTGTGTGTATAATGTGTTTGTGTGTGTATAATGTGTGTGTGTGTGTATAATGTGTGTGCGTGTGTCTGTGTATAATGTGTGTGTGTGTGTATAATGTGTGTGCGTGTGTCTGTGTATAATGTGTGTGTGTGTGTGTGTATAATGTGTGTGCGTGTGTCTGTGTATAATGTGTGTGTGTGTGTGTATAATGTGTGTGCGTGTGTCTGTGTATAATGTGTGTGTGTGTGTATAATGTGTGTGTGTGTATAATGTGTGTGCGTGTGTCTGTGTATAATGTGTGTGTGTGTGTGTATAATGTTTGTGTGTGTGTGTGTGTAATGTGTGAGTAATACGTGTGTGTGTGTGTGTGTATAATGTTTGTGTGTATATAATATGTTTGGGTGTGTGTATAATGTGTGTGTGTGTGTGTAATGTGTGAGTAATACGTGTGTGTGTGTGTGTGTGTGTGTGTGTGTGTGTGTATATAATATGTTTGGGTGTGTGCATAATGTGTGTGTGTGTGTGCATAATGTGTGTGTGTGTGTTTAATGTGTGAGTAATACGTGTGTGTGTGTGTGTGTGTGTGTGTGTGTGTGTGTGTATAATATGTGTGTGGATAATGTGTGTGTGTGTGTGTGTATAATGTTTGTGTGTGTGTATAATATGTTTGTGTGTGTGTATAATATGTTTGTGTGTGTGTGTGTATAATGTGTGTGCGTGTGTCTGTGTATAATGTGTTTGTGTGTGTGTATAATGTGTGTGCGTGTGTCTGTGTATAATGTGTTTGTGTGTGTGTGTATAATGTGTGTGCGTGTGTCTGTGTATAATGTGTTTGTGTGTGTGTGTATAATGTGTGTGCGTGTGTCTGTGTATAATGTGTTTCTGTGTGTATAATGTGTGTGTGTGTGTATAATGTGTGTGTGTGTGTTTAATGTGTGTGCGTGTGTCTGTGTATAATGTGTGTGTGTGTGTATAATGTGTGTGCGTTTGTCTGTGTATAATGTGTGTGTGTGTGTGTGTGTGTGTGTATAATGTGTGTGCGTGTGTCTGTGTATAATGTGTGTGTGTGTGTGTATAATGTGTGTGCGTGTATAATGTGTGTGCGTGTTTCTGTGTATAATGTGTTTGTGTGTGTGTGTGTGTGTGTGTATAATGTGTGTTTGTGTGTATAATGTGTGTGCGTGTGTCTGTGTATAATGTGTTTGTGTGTATAATGTGTGTGCGTGTTTCTGTGTATAATGTGTTTGTGTGTGTGTGTGTGTGTATAATGTGTGTGTGTGTGTATAATGTGTGTGCGTGTGTCTGTGTATAATGTGTTTGTGTGTGTGTGTATAATGTGTGTGCGTGTGTGTGTGTATAATGTGTGTGCGTTTTTCTGTGTATAATGTGTTTGTGTGTGTGTGTGTGTATAATGTGTGTGTGTGTGTGTATAATGTGTGTGCGTGTGTCTGTGTATAATATGTTTGTGTGTGTGTGTATAATGTGTGTGCGTGTGTCTGTATAATATGTTTGTGTGTGTGTGTATAATGTGTGTGCGTGTGTCTGTGTATAATATGTTTGTGTGTGTGTGTATAATGTGTGTGCGTGTGTCTGTGTATAATGTGTTTGTGTGTGTATAATGTGTGTGCGTGTGTCTGTGTATAATGTGTGTGTGTGTGTGTGTGTGTATAATGTGTGTGCGTGTGTATAATGTGTGTGCGTGTGTCTGTGTATAATGTGTGTGTGTGTGTATAATGTGTGTGCGTGTGTCTGTGTATAATGTGTGTGTGTGTGTGTGTGTGTATAATGTGTGTGCGTGTGTCTGTGTATAATGTGTGTGTGTGTGTGTATAATGTGTGTGCGTGTGTCTGTGTATAATGTGTGTGTGTGTGTATAATGTGTGTGTGTGTATAATGTGTGTGCGTGTGTCTGTGTATAATGTGTGTGTGTGTGTATATAATGTTTGTGTGTGTGTGTGTGTAATGTGTGAGTAATACGTGTGTGTGTGTGTGTGTATAATGTTTGTGTGTATATAATATGTTTGGGTGTGTGTATAATGTGTGTGTGTGTGTGTAATGTGTGAGTAATACGTGTGTGTGTGTGTGTGTGTGTGTGTGTGTGTGTGTATATAATATGTTTGGGTGTGTGCATAATGTGTGTGTGTGTGTGCATAATGTGTGTGTGTGTGTTTAATGTGTGAGTAATACGTGTGTGTGTGTGTGTATAATATGTGTGTGGATAATGTGTGTGTGTGTGTGTGTATAATGTTTGTGTGTGTGTATAATATGTTTGTGTGTGTGTATAATATGTGTGTGTGTGTATAATGTGTGTGCGTGTGTCTGTGTATAATGTGTTTGTGTGTGTGTATAATGTGTGTGCGTGTGTCTGTGTATAATGTGTTTGTGTGTGTGTGTATAATGTGTGTGCGTGTGTCTGTGTATAATGTGTTTGTGTGTGTGTGTATAATGTGTGTGCGTGTGTCTGTGTATAATGTGTTTGTGTGTGTGTGTATAATGTGTGTGCGTGTGTCTGTGTATAATGTGTTTGTGTGTGTGTGTATAATGTGTGTGCGTGTGTCTGTGTATAATGTGTTTGTGTGTGTATAATGTGTGTGTGTGTGTATAATGTGTGTGTGTGTGTTTAATGTGTGTGCGTGTGTCTGTGTATAATGTGTGTGTGTGTGTATAATGTGTGTGCGTTTGTCTGTGTATAATGTGTGTGTGTGTGTGTGTGTGTGTGTGTATAATGTGTGTGCGTGTGTCTGTGTATAATGTGTGTGTGTGTGTGTATAATGTGTGTGCGTGTATAATGTGTGTGCGTGTTTCTGTGTATAATGTGTTTGTGTGTGTGTGTGTGTGTGTATAATGTGTGTTTGTGTGTATAATGTGTGTGCGTGTGTCTGTGTATAATGTGTTTGTGTGTGTGTGTATAATGTGTGTGCGTGTGTCTGTGTATAATGTGTTTGTGTGTGTATAATGTGTGTGTGTGTGTATAATGTGTGTGTGTGTGTTTAATGTGTGTGCGTGTGTCTGTGTATAATGTGTGTGTGTGTGTATAATGTGTGTGCGTTTGTCTGTGTATAATGTGTGTGTGTGTGTGTGTATAATGTGTGTGCGTGTGTCTGTGTATAATGTGTGTGTGTGTGTATAATGTGTGTGCGTGTGTCTGTGTATAATGTGTGTGTGTGTGTGTATAATGTGTGTGCGTGTGTCTGTGTATAATGTGTGTGTGTGTTTATAATGTGTGTGTGTGTGTATAATGTGTGTGCGTGTGTCTGTGTATAATGTGTGTGTGTGTGTATAATGTGTGTGTGTGTGTATAATGTGTGTGCGTGTGTCTGTGTATAATGTGTGTGTGTGTGTATAATGTGTGTGTGTGTGTATAATGTGTGTGCGTGTGTCTGTGTATAATGTGTGTGTGTGTGTGTGTATAATGTGTGTGCGTGTGTCTGTGTATAATGTGTGTGTGTGTGTATAATGTGTGTGTGTGTATAATGTGTGTGCGTGTGTCTGTGTATAATGTGTGTGTGTGTGTATAATGTGTGTGTGTGTGTATAATGTGTGTGCGTGTGTCTGTGTATAATGTGTGTGTGTGTGTATAATGTGTGTGCGTGTGTCTGTGTATAATGTGTGTGTGTGTGTGTATAATGTGTGTGTGTGTGTATAATGTGTGTGCGTGTGTCTGTGTATAATGTGTGTGTGTGTGTATAATGTGTGTGCGTGTGTCTGTGTATAATGTGTGTGTGTGTATAATATGTGTGTGTGTATAATATGTGTGTGTGTGTGT